GTATCCCAGAGCCCTGTTGTTCCAAGGTTGTACATACATCATTATTTACCTCTGTCCCACTTAGCCCATGCAAAGCAGCTTAACTGTTCTCCCATCCACCTTGTTCTTCCATTTCCCTACCGATTCTTGTGTATTGCTCCCCTCCCCAGCACCCAAACTATCCTGTGTCTATTCCCTACCCTGTGTTTATTCATTTAAGTGACCAAAGGGCACATTTTACAAGCCAGCCTCCTGCCCATGGGCACACAGCCTTTCTCATCCATGAGTCCTTAGCTGCTCTGTCTCTCTGTGCCATCACGTCTGCCTCCTCTCTGCTGCTGCAGCTTCTCTGCTTAGAATCCCATATGCCACCCATGCTCTTCCTTCTTGATGGTCCTGAGGGCCTCTGTTCCTGGAATGAAAGATAAATTATAACCCCATTTTGTTTCACATCTTCTGCCTTCATGTGTAATGCTCTTGATGTCATCCTACAACTCTGGCTTTTGATCACAATTGTTTGGTGAATCAGATCTGTTCTTAGATGCTTCCCAAATTCAGGTGGGATATACTCAAGGTCGTATGTTGTTTCTCTGTGATTTCTTTAGCTTTGGCCTGACCTTGAGTATGAGAGCTGATGGTCTGTTCCACAGTCTGTCCCCGGCCTTGTTTTGGGTGGTACTATGAAGCGTCTTCATGGCCTTTTCCCGTGTATTTAGTCTATGTAATTCCTGTGTATTCGTTAAGGCAAGGTCCGTATGTATAGTCGCTGTTTATATTGATGAAAAAAGATCTTTTGCGATGAGTAGGTTGTTGGTCTTGAAAAATTGTGTCCCTCAATTTCCAGCATCATTTGTATTATGAAGGCCACATTTTCCAACTATTGATCCCTCCTCCTTGCTTCCAACATTTGCATTCCAATCACTAATAATTATCGGCCTATCTTGATTTTATGTTTAATTAGTTTCAGACTGAAGAAGTTGATTGTTAGGTGCCATTGAGTCCGTTCCAACTCATAGCGACCTCATGCACAACAGAATGAAGTACAGCCGGTCCTGCACCAGCCTCACAGTTGTTCTGTCTGAGCCCACTGCTGCTGCCACTGTGCCAGTCCATCTCGTTGGGAGTCTTCCTCTTTTTTCACTGACCCTCCACTTTACCAAGCATGATGTTCTCAGGGACTGGTCCCTCTTGATAATACATGTTTGAAGTGTGAGAGATGAAGTCTCGCCATCCTGGCTGTATTTCTTCCAACACAGATTTGTTTGTTGGTAGAATTCTTTAATTTTCTCATCTCTTGCTATGGTGATATGTGTGTAAATTTAAATAATAACTATGTTAGATGATCTTCCTTTTAGACGTATAGCATAGATATTACCCTATCCCAGATGCCATGTATTTCAAGAAAGATCTTGACATGGGTTTGTTGGGGTTTTTTTTAATGAATGTGACACCATTCCTTTTCAGTGTGTTGTTCCCACCACAGTAAACCATGTGATCCTCCGATTCACAATGGCCAATATGAGTTCATTTCAGCTCACTAAGGCATAACATATCAATATTTATGTGTTTCAGTTAATTTTCAACAACTTCTGATTTTCTTAGATTCATACTAAGTAGATTTCATGTTCCGATTATCAGTGGATGTTAATTCTTCTCGTTTGTATCTGTCAGCAGTTGAAGATCCTGAAAACTTTGCCCCATCCACATGGTTAAGGCTGATTCTACTTTGACAAAGCAGCTCTTCCTCAGTTTTATTTTTACTGCCTTCCAGCCCGTGGGACTTGCTCTCCTTACTCTGTCAGACAGTACCTCAGTGCTAATTGTAAGGGTCAGTGCCTAACCCTTTGGAATGGACCACCTGTCCCTTCTCCCTAGTCTGTCTGTGTCTAGAAGCTCTCCTGAAACCTGTTCACCGTGGGTGACTCTGCTGGGATTTGCAACACCAGTGGCATAGCTTCCAACATCACAGAGCACTGAAGCCACCACAGTACGACAGACTGAGAAATATGTGGGGATCTGTTATATGCCTGCCTTATCTCTCCACAGTCTTATGGACAGTGCCTTTTCCATAATTGTTGTTGGTGAGTGCCATCAAGTCGGTTCCCACTCACAGCAACCCTTCGTAGGGTTTCTGAGGCACTGCTGGTGAATGTGAACCGCCGACCTTGCGGTCCAGTGCTTATCCCACAGTGCCACACCAGGACTCCTTACCCATACTGTTGTTGTTAAGTGCCATGGAGTAGGTTCCGACTCATAGCGACCCTGCACAGGGCTTCCGAGGCTGTAAATCTTTATGGGAGCAGAACGCCTCATCTTTCTCCCGCGGAACCACTGGTAGTTTCGAACTGCTGACCTTGAGGTTCACAGCCCGATTCGTAACCACTACGCTACCAGAGCTCCTTTACTAGATGCCAGAAAATACCTGTGCACAGTATTTTCCTGTGCCGGAGCATCATAGCCTTTTAAGAGTACTTCTATGGTGGGCCATCAGCCAGAACAGGAATCGTGGTCATATGTAGCTTGTCTGTCTGCAGCAGGCCCTGAAAAGGTTCCAGTTTTATCTAACTGGTGTTACATTACTGAATGTTGAGAGTTCTGTTCCATTCCGGTTTCTCATCAGTGAACTCCCCATTGTAGCCAATTGGTCCTTACTCTTTCCAACCTCTGGGCTTTCCCCTGAATACACGGTGTTCTACCCCTTGTCCAGAGTCATCCTGGGCTCACAGGTAGTGATGTGAATAAAGACGACAAACCCTAACAGGCCTCAGAGCTTCACTGGCTGGTTGCTGCGTTGGAGTCACAGGCCATTCTATGCCTAGTTTGGTGATTTGGATCTCGTGTGTTTAACTGTTCATGCTCTCTGAGCACGAGTCAGAATCAACTCTTGACAGCATGGGTTGGTATGGTTTTGTCAGTTGGAGGTTGTTGTTGTTGCCATCGCCCTTGTAAATGTCCACCAAGTGACTTGTTCCTACTGAGTCTGGATAAGAGAAGGTGGCGCATGATGGTGATACATGGTTTGATTTAGTTGTAAGGGATTGCTAACAGGGCTAATTTTGGTGTCCTGCTGGACTTTAAGTGAGCCACTGAGAAGCAGGAAGGAGGAAGAGTCAGGGGTAGATTGTGTCCTTTGGAACCTGAGCCTCTTGCTCCCAGAGGTTCCACAGCCCAGGGACAGAATGCGGTTATACCAGCAAAGGGCAGAGTGGTGACAGCAGCAAGACCCAAGAGCCAGTGCTCTCCCTTCCGTGGAGCCAGTGGAGCTGAGTGGTGTGGGGTGGGAAGCTTGCTCGCAGAGTGAGGTGCCTCCAGACGCTGAATTGGGGAGCTGGATTTGCTGACCCACAGAACTAGAGCTGAGTATTTTCAGGTTGAGGCTGGGGTGGAACAGTGTGCCGTGTGAGCGTTTATCAGCAACCTTTAAGGGAACTTTGTAACGCTGTCTGAGCACAGCTGAGGAGAGGCTGTCCTGACTGAGAGAACTGTGCCCTGAATGTGCTTGACCCTGAATTAGAACCTGTAACTTCTCTCATAGATGGAATCTGAGTTCTGTGTGGACATTGCAATCAATCCTTGAGCCCAGCTAAGTAGAGCGTGCTATGGAAGACTGTTGCCATTTTTAGTCCTCCTGATGAAAGATTGTAAATTCGAACCAGAATAGTGAGGCAAGTAACGAGACTCCATTTATGTCGTGTCCTCTTCCTCTAGTGACCCGCTTGTGCCAGTCTCCCTCACGCTCACCCTCATTTCCTCTGCAGGATGTTGAGGGACTGGATGTGGGTGTGGCTGTGAGAATGGGAAGGGTGGGGTGGGGTCACTGAAGATGGGCTGCAGAGGGAAGAGCTTGGGCTATCTGCTTTTGAGAACTGGGCGAAAGGATGGGTTCTAGCAGAATTGATGGCTGTCACAATTGGTCTGTGAAAGCGAAGAGTGATGCCAGGGTGGGGCCTACGGTGAGGATGTGGGGAACAGAGGGGCTGGGTCAGAGTGCAGGGCAGCTCACAGGACCGGAGAGGAAGCAGCCCTGATGAGTCTCTGCTGATACCCGTGGCTGTGTGACTCACTGCAGCTTGCCTGTGACAATTGCACAGGTACCATGATCCCATTTCACCAGTGACAGCTGAGTGTGTTGGTCTTATTAGCTTATAATGTAATAAAGCCCATAACTTCTCACTCTCCTATAAGAGAGAGAGGGCTTCAAAAAGTTCATGAAGGAATGAGATGAAAAGATAATAGAATTTTCCTTGGATTTGATGTGCCCCTGTACATATTTTGCAGCGCTGTATTTGGTTGCATGTCTGTGACATGTTCGCTCTGTGTTTGGGTGCCTCTGGACAGCACTGACCACTGTGAGGAGTAAGGACTGTGCTTCCCTGGCTTCTCTGGCACCAGGGACACCAGTCCAGTTGTGTGACCCCATCCTCGGTCTGATGACTTCAGATGGCTGATAGATTTGAGTTGCAGCTGGCACAAATTGGCTTTTGGTTTGGTGTTTTCTTTTACAGAGGCATTAGCAGGAGGCAGCAGGCCTTTTCCTAGGAATTCCTGGGGGAGATTTTCTTTTCTGCTGAATGAAGCTTGCCCTTTTATAGGCCTGTCACCGTCTAGCTCTACCCCACCCAGGCTTCCAGGAGGAAAGGCATGTATAGAGTTCACTCAGGAAAGTCTCCTATAGAAGAGAAGGGTGAAGTGGCCAGGTGGCCTGTGAAATATGCTCTTTGTTGATGCCAGCAGGGGGCCACTGTCCACAGCTGCTTTCTCAGAGTTCCCTGAAAAGCAGTAAGCTTCCAGAAGCCAGCAAGAGTTGGAGTGCATGTTACATTTCTTGTGTTCCAGGGGAAGTACTTTCTGTCCTCTTGCCAGCTAATGTTGTCAGTGCCTTGAGGAGAACTGGCCCTTGACTTCCTGACTGTTGTATAAACTGGGGAAAGAATCTGGACTTTCGTCACCAGAGGGCAGCACCCCCCACCTTCCCCCGACCCCGTTCTCTGTCTGTTTCTGCCTGCTGGTCCCACAGGAACCAAGGTCCCGCTTACAAAACTATGTCTGTTTTCTTGATCCTTTTTCAACAGCCTAGCAAATTGTCAGCTCCTGTTTGCATAGGCATACCATTGTGGCACTGTGGGTTAATGTGCTAGACTGCAAAGTGAGTTTGAACCACAAAGTCAGTGGTTCAGGCTTACCAGCTGCTCCTTGGAAACCCTGTACAGGGTCACTGTGGGTCGGAACTGACTCGAAGGCACTTAGCAACAGCAACATCTTGGCAGTGGTTTTGGCTTCTTCTGCTTGTTTACCATCATGCCAAACCAAGAACTTATAAATCATGAGATCCAATCATTGCCATTTTTGCTTGCAGCCTGGAATTGTGTCGCCATTTAAACGCGTGTTCCTCAAAGGTGAAAAGAGCCGAGATAAGAAAGCCCATGAGAAGGTGACGGAGAGGCGCCCTCTGCACACTGTGGTGCTGTCATTGCCTGACCGCGTCGAGCCAGACATACTGCTGAATGACTACATCGAAAAGGAAGTGAAGGTAGGTCGTCTCAGACACGGTGCAGTAAGTGCCAGACAGCAGCAGAGGTAATGCCTTTTAGCCACCTGATGCTATGTAGTTTATTCAAGCACCTTCACTGAGTGCTCCTTTAACTCTTCCACTTGTCTTGCCTGTGGTAATAGATCTGAGAAGTGAGCACTGTCTAATAGCAAGGTGCTGTTGTACCCAAAGTGGCAGCCCAGAACTGGGAGAAATGCTCACAGTCACTTGTACTTTGCAGGTGTAAACAGTCGATGGAGGTCCTGGAGCTACTTCGTGTCACAATTTAGAACCCAGGTCTCCTAGGTTCCGTGCTTTTGAAGTCTTTTATAGATTCCGAAGCCTGTGCCCAGAAAGATGACTTGTGGTTAAACCTGTCACATAAAATGTGTATGCTGATTCTCATTCACTCCGCAAAATGCATGAAAATGAAACTAAATGAATACTTTCATTTATAAAGCCACAGGTCCGAGAGCATAGGGAGAAAGACGACAGTGGAAGAAAGATGTTCCTAGACTTGGAAGAGAACAACCAGTGGGGCTGGAGGGAGGCATGGAACTGCTTTCATGTTTGCGCAGGTATCCTACTCTGGCCTGGTGCAGTCCGATGGCTAGCCTTTCTCCTCTCCTTTGAGAGATAGGAGGCTTCCTCTGTAGAGAAATTAGACTCGAAAGACCTGAACACAGGGACACTAGGCACAGTAGGGTGAAGACCCAGATTGGAACAAGAGAGTTAAGTCAGAGCATGATGAAGAGTGAGATTCCTGATCTTTTTCTGTCAGGCTTCCAGAAGACCTCAGCTAGGCCTTTACCCAAGAGAATCCTGGCAAGGGTGCTTTGCTTGGGGAAGCCGAGCTGTTCATGCAGGCACGGCCAGACCCTGGCACTTGGTGATTACCCTGGATGCTTTCCAGCGTGGATGCAGAGTTCCTTAGGCAGCCAAGGGTGAGCACACATTTGAGGAGAGGTTTTAACCTAGAAGAGCTCAAGACAAATAGTAAACAAGAATGAAATAGTGACAATGTAGAAACTAGGGGACAGGGAACCACAAAATAACTCACATATATATAAAATCTCAGAAACATAAGGGAAAATGTTATAAGTACAAAGTTAACAGGATTCTACTTCTAAATTAAGGAAAGGTGGGAAAGAACTTTTAGAATCAAAATACGTTAATTATATTTCTTCAAAAGTTCAATATAGGGATTATAGTCAAGAAAATCTGCCAGAAAAGATAACCAAAACACAGAGTTAGAAAATTAGTAAGCAAACAAGCAACTTGCTTGCCCAGGAAACATCAAGGCAAGTGGTCGGGTCCCCTCAGTGCAAACCCCCTTCCAAGACTAAGACTCAATGGGACTACACGCTCTGATTGGTGACCACGCTCAACACCGATAAGGGGAAGTGAGGGAAAAACAGCAATGAAGCGGTGAGCTAAGCCCTACAACGTTCAATAGACTTCTGTGAGCCCAGGTGAAGACCTGGTTGACCAGCAGTGTGGCAAGACCTGGGGACTCTTGGGCCCAGAGTCAGTGACATAGCCACAGAGGACTAGAGTGGAGAGTGAAGCGTCCAGCTGATAAGAAGAGAGGGCATATGCATAAGAACACCCACACTTGCAGATAATACCCACTTATCCTGGCTTCAGTGACTGGATGATCAGAGCTCAACCAGAAGTAAAAAGAAGAGGAAAAAAAAAAAAAGTATTCTCATACAATTTGATGAACTTGACTACTCCTATGGAAGCAGTAGCTCAAAAGAGGGAACAAGTCTTTACAACAAGAATCATTCCCACACCCTCCACACACAGAGTAGACAGGAATGGGCAACTTGGACATTGGCTACCCAAAATGGGGGGCGGGGGACTACAAAGGCAAGAAGTGACTGGCTTACAAGCTTTCAAGAGGGAACCGAGATCCAGAGGGCCTGGAGGAAGGTAGAATCTCCAGTGAGTAGTATTCAGTCTGTCTAGGCGGGGCTGATGCAATGAAATGCAGATGGGTCTCTTGTGATACAATAGTGAATAATTGTTATCAGGACTGATTGTGAGGGTTGGAAATGTAAAGGTAGACGTTTTATAGCAAGGAGGGGAGTGATTAACTTTTCAGTCTAGGAGCGGAGGCCCCTAGGACCATCAAGGGAGAAGAGCAGGGAGCGGGACCCTACCCAGAGAAGCAGTGATGCCTGAAATGGAGGCAGAGATGATGACGTGGAGCGATGGAGCAGCTGGAGACTTTAGATCCAGAGAGGGAGAGCAACTGTGTGCTGAAGACCTGGGGGGTACAGGGGAAAGAATGCATGGAGGGGATGATAACCATGGCAATGAGACGATATATGATAGAATGAATGTAAAACTAATGTTCTCCCATGTAAACTATCACATAATTCACAATAAAACATTTAAGAAAAAAAATTAGTAAGCAGAAGATAAGAAAGAGAGAAAAAGAAAATTAGTGGCTCGATTCAGAAGGTTCAGAAACTAATTCATTAGAAGAAAGCGCAGAGAAATGAAGACATTACTAAGACAGTAATATAGGAACACTCCTAGAATTATTTAAAGGACATAGTTCTCCAGGCATGAAGGATTTCCATATAGTGAATAGAGTAAATGTGCATGAACCCATCCTGAGAAAGTTACTGAAGGATGTGCTTCATTAAAACATACGGTTTAAACCAAGAAGGGAGGAAACATGGAATTCAGAATTCAGGATCTAACAGAAAAGAGGCAAAGGTAATTCCCAAGGTAACAGAAAAGCGATGTTCTGGTTATGAATCTGAGGAGAATAGGTCTAAAAAGCAACCAATTCAAGTAGATGTTAGGACAGGGAAATATATTTTATATATTTAGGTAGAAAATATCTTGAAGACACAATGATTGGTCACTCCTTGCCTGGAGTGACAGAAGAGGAGAGCCAGAAATAGGAAGAGGAAATGGTATACGGCAAATAGCCTTCATGAACAGCTGCTGCTTTGTCATGAAAATAGAAGCATTTGGTGCCCAGCTACCATTATTGAACATGTAGATCAAAGATCACATAGGAAAATCCTGAGTAAAAGGAAAAATGCAGAACAGAAATTCAAAGTGTCATGGAATTCAGCTTTTCTGGAGCCATGAATGCTGGATGAACCTCTGAAACTTTTGCCCTGAGATAATCTTAATATTTTAAACCAAAAATACCTGCTGAAATCTTAAAACCAAACAGTAGTTTACCTTAATTAGTAAACAGTAGTTCACTTTAATTAGTAAACAGTTGTTGTTGTTTAGTACCATAGAGTCGGTTCTAACTCATAGTGACTCTGCACAGGGTTTCCAAGGCTGCAAATCTTTACAGGAGCAGAAAGACTCATCTTTCTTCTGCAGAACAGCTGGTAGTTTCGAACTGCCAACTTTGAGGTTAGCAACCCGATTTGTAACCACTAAGCTACCAGAGCTCCTTAATTAGTAAACAGTAGGTGACCTTAATTAGAAGGAGCTCTGGTAGCGTAGTGGTTACGAGTCAGGCTGCCAACCACAAGGTCAGCAGTTCGAAACTCCCAGCGGCTCTGCGGGAGAAAGATGAGGCGTTCTGGTCCCGTAAAGATTTACAGCCTCGGAAACCCTGTACAGGGTCGCTATGAGTCGAACCTACTCCACGGCACATAACAACAACAAGGTCACCTTAATTAGTGAGCACGTGTTGTGATTAGGTGTCATCAAGTTGGTACCAACTCACAGCAACCTTATGCACAGCAGAATGAAACACTGCCCGATCCTGGGCCAGCCTCACCATTGTTGTCACGCTTGAGTCCATTGATGCTGCCACTTGGCCATTCCATCTCATTGGGGTCTTCCTTTTTTTCTCTGACCTTCCACTCTACCAAACATGATATCCTTCTCCAGCGACTGGTCCCTCCTGACAATATGTCCTAAGTATGAGAGACAAAGTTTGGCCATGTTGGCCTCCAAGGAGCATTCTGGCTGCACTTCTTCCAAAACGGATATGTTGGTTCTTTTGGCAGCCCATGGCACTTTCAGTATTCTCCTGCAACACCATAACTCAAAAGCATCAATTATTCTACAGTCTTCCTTATTCACAGTTGTTCACCTTAATTAGTAAAGAATGTCTGCCATGAGCAGTATTTGCTATCTTTTTTTAAATTTAACTGTTTTTTGGGGATTGAGTGAAGGTTTACAAGCAGATCATCAGTTTTACATTCAGCAAACCTTACGCTTTGCTTCACTACATGGGTGCAATCCCCTCTGTGTACCAACAGTTAACGGCATTATCTCTGTTCACTTGAACTGTTGCATTCCTCCCTGTGTCTCCTGCCACATTCATCTTTCCTCTGTCAGCCTCTCTCTTGTTGTCTATTGCCGGCCCTGTCACCCATGGGAACATGTGTCTACCCTCTGGACCGTAAATAATTTTCCTGTCGCTCTCCTCCCCATGCCCCGGTTCCATAGCCATCATAGATGGTTTCTTTTATCAAGAAAACCTTTCCTTAACTTTTCACAACATTGGTCTCGTACAGTATTGCCCTTTTGTGACTGACTGATTTCACTCAGCATAATGTCCTCCAGGTTCATCCATGTTGTGAGGTGGTTCACAGATTCATCGTTATTCTTCAGTATTGCGCGTAGTATGCCATTGTGTGCACGTACCAAAGTTTGTTTAGCCATTCTTCTGTCGATGGGCACTTATGCTGTTGTCATTTTTCTGATGTGTCTCTTGAGTGGTACATTTAATCCATTTACTGTAATTATCGATAGGTATGAATTGATTGCTAGCATTTTTCTGTGTGTGTTTTTGTGTTGTTGCTCGTCTCTTTGTTCCACTTAATTTTCTGTGCTGAGTTCATGTGTGGATTTTCTTTTTCTTTTCATTTCTGTTGTGTTAATGTTTACTGAATCTATCTGATTTTTCTCTTTTTTATTTTGATGTGCAGGTTTATTAATTTCCTAATGAGGTTATCCTGTAATTTATTCATTTTCCCCCCGTTTAAAACAGTTTATTTTATCTT